TGGAAGTGAAGGCACGCATGTGTAAGAAAAATGCCACTCTGGCGTGAGTGGTTCGCCACTCTCATATCCAGTCTAGTTCTAGCTCTAGACTTTCGTGTGTAAGTTTACAAAACTAGCACCAAAGTGCGAGAATCGTTGAAGAGGACCGTGATGAAGTCACTCCAGTGCTGTTTCGAGTCACTCCAGTGCTGTTTCGAGTCTCTCCAGTGCTGTTTCGATTCAAAGCACTCAAGATGTAACTTACCGGTACTTACATTTTGACCAATCACAGCAATGTCGGATGAAAGTGTCGTATTCGCCAAGTTATCCATACATAATTAATACCAAGTCCACTATTATTACTACTTACGATAACTTTACAGTTAGTTAATTCAAGCTTGGGTCAACCGCAATGTCGTGGAAGGCTAATGTAGATATCGTTTTGAATTCGACTTGAGCAGCGTCAATCCCGTTCAAGCCTAGGCAGGCACTTGCATAAACAGCACTAGAAACAGAACATTCATGGCCGCACGGATTACAACTACTAATGAGAGGTAAATAGCATGGCAATGTTAACATACTTGTGCAGGCGAGAGTGGTGTGTGTCTTGGTCTTTTCACAATTTACAGTTAATACTTCGCAGTACAGTTAATACTTCGAAGTACAGTATGTATTAAGTGCATTCTCTATTAATCTCGGAGTTACTTTGGATTGGTCCGTTTGATTTTATTCAGCCAATCAAATGGCGTTCTATTTTGGCCAATGCAAAACGATCATGTGCAGTCGCGCAGTTTTTCAAACATTCAAAGCGAGCGAGCGATTGAGCGCGGGACACGGCGGTGACGATGGACGAGAACAACAACACCCTTGATGGCGCCGTGATGATGGGAAGTACGAACCGCGGGTACGCGATGGACTTTGGTGATGTGTTCCAGAAAAAGCCCGTGTCCTCGCGGTCGGCGTTGTCGTCGTCGTCCCACCCATCGAATAACGAAAACGTCGACAACAACGCCAACGCTGTCTTAGCGAGCTCATTCCAGCCAACAGCTCATCGCACTGTTGGTGGTCGTGGCACGAAGGAGTGGCAACTTCCTCACTACAACACTATCGAGGAGAACGCCGCGTACCTGAACCGACAGCTCGAGCTGCAGCAATACGGAGTCCACGACGCGTTCACGTCGCTCGTGTTCCGTGCGTCAGCCGACGACGACGTCGAAGTTCGCCGCGTGATGGACTGCGTGCATTGGTTGCTGCATTCCCGCCGCGAAGAAATGCACAAGTCGGACGAAATGGCCGAGCAGTTTATTCGGTACGACAAGGACATCCAACGCAAAAACAACCAAATCCAAGCGTTAACCGCGCAAGTTGAAGCCGAGCGCAAGGTACACCCCCATCTTCACCCTCCGAATCCCCATGAAGATCCATCGTCACATCCAGAAACGTCCTGAACATGCTCGCCTGTGTTTGTCGTAGACCTGTACTGATCTGGAGAACCAAATGAACGCCAAGGATGCCGCGTATGCCAAGGAGCGTCAACTGTTCAAAGAAGACAAGCGATCCCTCGAACGGAAATGCATCCAGTACAGCTTTCGTCCTATATGTGCCAGTCGACCGGTGTTCTCCATGATGTATCTATTGTTGGGTTGGCTCAAATCTGTGGAATATTGTTTTTCAAAGTTATATTTGGTTCAACTCCCTTTAAAATAAATGATTCATTATTTATACTCAAGTAAATAAATATTTCCTTCTGTCAAAGCCCTTTAAAGTATTGTTCAACGTTATATTTGGTTCAAGGCCCTTTAAAATAAATGACTCATTATTTATACTCAAGTAAATAAATATTCCTTCTTTATTTTCGCTTGTGTTTGTTTCAAGGCCCTTTAAAGTACGATTCATTCTTTATGCGCGAAAGGAATTTTTTTTTTTTCTTTTATATAGATAGTATCGATATAACGTGCGTCTCAAATCCCTTGCTTGGTATGTATATCTGGCAATTGTGAAAGTTAGAATGGAATTTTTAGCGTTTTAGTTGGCTTGAAACAATAATAGAATGCATTGAAGACGTGACCGCAATATGCATTAGATTGACCCACGTCGACACGAATTACAAAGCTCAGCTGCGAAAAAGCGAAGTCAACTACGAGCGGTTGCAGAAACAGTACAGCGCATACCTTGCAAAGTCCTCTTCCGATAAACGGGTATGCATATCACGACGAGCATATTGCATCATCGTGTGGGTCTTGGACTCCATTATGGGTTTTACTGCCCTGTCGAGATCAATCGGTCACGAATCGCGCTCTGCTGTAACGTGGTTTCGTGGTGGTTTGCAAGTGTCGTTGAATACCGCACAATCCGATAACTGACAGCGAGAAACCACTGGATGATTCGTATGTAGGGCATGGCGCTAGGAAAGGAGCTCAATGGCAAGCCCACGTGTATTCAAATCCGCAATGCATCGACCAACCAGGCCACCATTCCAGGCGAACACAACATTCTCAACACGGTAAGGAGCATTTTAGCATATTTTGTCGCCAACCAATTGGAATGTTTGTGTGCTAATTTTCACGAAATATATCGGTCGCGTTCATGTACTGACTGTTGTATGTACTACGATGAAGTATGCGGCCATGTTCACACTATTTTTGAAACCCCACACGAAGTCGATGGGTTTGATTGGCCACTTGAACTTGTTCTGGGTTTTGATTGGTCGTTGAATCGATTTGACAACTTTTTGATACAACCAGTTATAGAACCAATTGATTGTAAATCACTTATGGTAACTTTGATTCTTATACTAGTATTTAAACGAATACGTAGGAGATTATTGTAAAACAACTTCAAAACGATCAAATTTATTTATCTACGCCATAAATATTGTCGATTTTCTTCAATTTTGCATGGTTCGTTCAATCGAGCACGAGCCGAGACATCTGATTGGCCATTATCCACTTCGCCTTTTCCAGTAGAAACTCGAAAATGGATTGTAGCCAATCAGCGACAAGTAATTTCGGATTGACCAATGGGAGAAATTGGTGCTCGATTCGATTGAACGGGGTCCGGAAATTCATACCGAATCTCCAATACCTGATATAACTTTATAGAGTTTGCCTATGATATTCTTATGCTGTTATCGTGTTAGCCAAAAGAGTTTGAATATTCGCCAATTCCATCGATCGACTTTTGTACTGGATTTTGTATGTAAAACATGTCCAATGGGGACACGTCGCCGTTGTCCCACAAACTGAAGTCGCCCACTGATTCGATGATGATTGGCCAGTTGATTCGTGTGTTGGGTTTTGATTGGTCGATATATCGATTGTCGGCCATTTTGATGCTGCTTATTCAATAGTCTTGAATATATTTTTGTTTCATATATAAATATATATATATATATATTCGTGATTTGTGTAGATGATTCGGTCGTACGAGGTGCAGCATACGGCGCTATTGCAAGAAAACGAAGCATTACGGGCGAGTGTGGCCCAGTTTTACGCCGAATTGAAGCAAGCGACAACCGAATACCGCGCCGCGGCCAAGTGGTTTCTGCATCGGTCAGTGGTGTATGTAGTAAACCCTTGTCGTCGATTGAAACTTGTGTGTATCTATATTGTGAATTCGCTATACACTTTTAAAATTCGCCTGGTTTTGTCTTATCAATATGGAATCACGCTGGAGTTCTGATTGGTTGAATATACTTGTCCTTTCTGCAAGAGCCAATCAAATCCACTCAAAAAATGGATTAGCCAATAGCGTCGATTTGTGACTATTCGGCGGCGAGTTATTCGATTTGACGGGATCTGGAAATTCGTATCGAATGCACAATATATATATATATATGTATATATGTATGTATGCAACGTCGTTGATTGTTGTGTGGTTGGATGGCTTCTATACATATTTATATATTTCATGGCCATCTCAATTATATATATGTAACGCCGTTTGAACCACCCACGGTCTGAAATACATTCATCTATATATATATATAATGGATATATGTAATAAAGTTTGAACATGGTATTCGTGAAAGGAGGACTACGACCGACGCTCAGCAAGTGTATATATAAATATATATATATATAGCATGTGCTAGGTTGTGGTTGATAGCTTGTGGTGATATATATATTTTTGTAGCCATGGCAACGCGGTGTCGCAATGGGAGGAGCAGCTGCAGCTCCCGGTCGTGGAC